CCCCCCCCCCCTCTCTCTCTCTCTCTCTCTCTCTCTCTCTCTCTCTCTCTCTCTGTCATTCTTTCTCGTAGGACTAATGCTTATCTAATTAAACATTTTTTTAGTTTCATATCGTTATTCTATTTTATTCTGATTTTTTTTTTTATTCTACGTGGAAGATAAAATCTGAATTGACTGATGCTTTTTCACAAATCGTTTTTTTCGCTCGGATCAAGATGCCAAGGATTTTATGACAAGTTTATAGTCTTCACTTGTTTCGTTGAATAATTCTCTTTCTCTCTCTCGTTTAATATTTCTATCATAATTTAATTTTTAATTTTATTTATACTTTATTTTTAGATACGTTATACAAAATCCGGCCACTTTTTTATACTCTTTATATTCGACGATCATTGTATTATCTTCGTGATACGCTTGAGATTATTCCGACGATATCAAAACTAGAGGAATTTTTCTCTCCATTTTCTCTCACTATTGCTTCATATTTTATCAAAATAAATAAACCTCTCTCTCTCTCTCTCTTTCTAAGATCGCACAACAATATTCGGATTTTTATGATACGCTTGCCTTTCGATCGCATCTTTTCATTCGTCAAATTAATTATAACATCGAGATAAGGTACTTGATTTGATATAAGACATCTCATTTTTTAAATAATCGAGAAACGCGCTAAATTTATTTATCTTGCATTTGGAATCTCGCATAAATATAAATGTTTATATGAATATGAAAGATAAATTATGATTGACTCGTATGATTTATTAAAATCAACAGAAAGTGTAAAGCCATTCGAGTCTTGAAAACTGGATGTTAATGTTTATTTTATTATGTGAATTTTATATACTGTGTATGTAGTCCCCCCCGCGAATAAATGTTTATATATAAATATATTTTGTTTTGGCATAATTTCAAAGTTTAAGCAATTCTCGTATTTTACGATTCGATCTGGCTTGTCGACAGCCAGTGGACAGAATATAAATCTCGCGCGTGTAAAAGTCATCTGTGATTATAGTTAAATCGCTGGAAGAGGATTACTACTGAAGCCTCACTTTCGAGAAAGGATCGTAATTGTTTTCGTTGGCACGCCGTTGTTCTCGGAGAGAAGTCGAAGAATCGGAAAGTCTCCGACACGAACGATCGGTTTAGCAACAAGTGCGGCGGCCACGGAATTCCTTGGACGCGGCCAGCTTGGCGCGATGGCCATCTTTGTAAGCGCGCGGGGAAGTACTCGACGCGACATCTTTCAGTAGCGTAGCAAATCTTCGCTTTTGGTGACCGTTTCCGGGTACGCGCGCGAAGAAGTGACTCAAACGCAGTCATTCTTAGAAACAGTTACTCCAGACTTTATTTATGACACAAAGGCGGAAAACCCGTCGTAAATCACAAAAGCTTTAAATGAAATGTTACAAGTTAATTAACGATACGATGCACTTGTCTTTATAGATGTATCGCGCTGATGAAATGAAAATCGATCTCCCAGTCTTGTCACGCTCGTTCTAATCGGCTTTCTTGAGGTGCGTGGCGTGTGCGCGATCTATTAAGATCCATTAAGAAAGACTTTCTACAAGAAAATAGATGACCGTGGCTATCGGTTGATCTAAGTGGGAATGGTGGATTAACAATTTTCACGCGAAAGTGGAGAATTGGTCGGAGATTGGCGAAGATTGGGAATTAGCGGAAGATCGCGAGCGAACGTTACGAATTCTCGTCGAAAACCGGAAATAATCCTCGCGATCACTGGGAAGTGAACGAATGAGTTTTCATATATTTGTCCACGAAAACATTCTTTAAAAATTCGTGAGATCTGAAACGGTACTATCGTGACTATATTTTGTGTTTGATTCTTGTTTGTATAAATTTCTCGTAATTCGACGAATAAATTACATACTACATTTTACTATCTTCCTGGTACCGTAAGAGTTAATACAACGATATCAAAATACCTTTCATGTCTTTGTTATTCGATGTTCAATATATTCTATATTTTACTTTAAGGCCCAAGGTAACATCAGCGTTACGAAAATGTGTGTGTGCACCAAGGTCGTAAAATTAATATGCTCTTGCATACGAAAATGGAGTGAATAATCTTTTCTCGAAAACATTCGGACGCACACAGGACTTCGAGGAAATCTTAAAAATTCAAGAAATCAAACCGATGGAATTTTCGCTATAATAAAAGTATAATCGACAATGCTTGGCGAACCGTTGGTTCGCGCGATTTCACCGAGTCGCGCAATGATTCGCGAAACAAGTCGATGCATTGTCGTCATCATCATTGTCGTTGACGACGACGACGACACGATTATAAAACGCTGTGATAACGGTACGCGTATTTTCTCCCCTTCCGACACGAAGCGATGGAAAGACGGAAGCATCGCCGTGTAACTGGGTCAGTCGCAGACGACGATGACGATAGGGGAAAAGAAAAAGAGACCTCTCGTCCATCATTGGCGTAGTACGCGAGCGCGCTACACGTAAGTGCGTAAACGCGTATTTACGTACCGCTAACCTGTCTTCTAAAGCCGCTTGCGTGTTTTACCGTCTCCGTGTACCGTTAGGGACGTTAGAGTTAATCTCTCTTTCTCTCCTCCCTCCACCCTCTCTTTGTAACAAGCATAAAAATGTTCTGACGTTGCGTGTAAAAAAAGTTCTACTGTTAAGTTACAAATAGTAAAAACCTATTTTGAAACATATAAAGAATCATTTATTCGACAGAATACTCTTCTATGGATATACTTTATAAATTTGCAAAATACACTGAATACACTAAATGAGTTATTGCATGCTGAAATTGTTTATTCAATGAAAATTAAAAAATTGATATTGTATGCCAGACAATGTGTCTAAAAGATATCTGAAAGACATCATAAAGAGGTCTTCTAAACGATACGTGTGTTGTTTAGGTATCTTTTACTGTAGATTCACTGAATATTTGTATCATATTTAGAGATATTGATACGAATAATTGTTCAATTACTAAACAGGTTCCAATCGTTTTTTAAGCGACAACTTTTAATGACAATTTGTCATTATCTATAAACACGTTAATTTACAAATATATATTAGATGCCGTCAAAAGCACGAGTTTCACCTACTTCTTTCATACACGAAAAAGTACGGTACTCTTATCGAAAAGTAACATTTTGCACAGTACTTTGTATTTGATTTCGTCGTCGCGAGAAAACATCACTTTCGCGATATGTCAGGACATGTGTAAGGAAAAGTATACAAACCACTCTAGCCTTTAATGGACAGTATAAGGATAGTTAAATATAAAAAAAAACAATTGTAATAACAGTGTCTTTTTTTATTTTACAGATTCTAAAATGAGATTAGAGGAGGATCTGGTGATCCGCAGGAGCCGACCCACGATGATCTCCGCTAAATATCGCGCCCGCGAGGAACGTCGCCGTCTGCTCAAGATTTCCGCCGGCAAGCTGAGGAGGATCGAGGATCCTGAAGCAAGCCTGTGCCGATCGGTTCTTATAAATAACGCGGTACGACGGTTGCAACGTGACAATCGGGACGACAAGACACGAAGTTACGGTACACTTCCAATAGTGGCGTCATACATGGACGATGCTAGCAAGGAAAATAGCATTGTCGGGAGTCTCATCGCCGACGTAACGAACGAGGAAACTTCCTCTAGGAAAAGGTATAACACTGATCGAATAGAATAATTTCGAATAAATTTTACTTTAATAGAATTTTAATTAGTTTGGGATTCTCTTTTGCATATAATTTTCCATATAATTTCCCTCTCCTATTTATTTTCATTTTTGTTACTTTATAATTTTCATCGTGTTGATATTAATATTAACGCTACATAGTGAAAATTATATATACAGACATTCTCTCTCTCTCTCTCTATGCATATAAAGTTTTTAAAGTTAAATCTAAACCGATATTTTTTAGAGTGTTTGAATTTCCTGTTAAAAAATTCTTCGCATAACTCTTTGTTTGGTATTTTTATCATAGAATAAGTACCATTTTTACCGTTGCAAACTAATTCTCATGTCGACATTATTTATGATGAAACGTAGGTTGGCTGACGATTCGAGAAACGACGAACTCAATTCCAAGCGGCATAGGCATGATGACTTAGACTTGCAAGATGATGTATTCAGTGACTTCTACATCTTACCACCGACGCCACGTTTGCTCTCGCATATCGATGAAATTCAACCAGAAGCGTTAGTGTCGCATCATAACGGCAGTCACCATCTGGGCTTCTCGGAGGACCGCTTGAGCGGCGGCGTGGCTGACGTGCGATCGAATGGCACAATCATCAGCACAAGTAGCACCTCCACAACGACTAACGGCATTGGAGTCGACAGCGTGACAAGCTGCCATTCCGTGCTTTTCCCCGTTGTCGGAGATCTCGACGACACGAGCGTACAACTCTCGAGACCAGGAACCGATATGATGGAGGTGGACGTAGTCGATCCCGATCGGCTTTGTGACTTTTCTAGATTCGCCGACTCGGCGAAGACGCTGGAAGAACGACTGGCCGAGCTGCAGTCTTTGGATGAGCATTTCGACCTTACCAAGTTCGAGCGTAATAACAATCAGAGTTGCGGCCGGGCCTTCCATGACATACAGACCTTCCACAGCCTCGTGCCAGGTCTGGAAACTTAGACGATGGTACTATATCTCGAGCCAACGATGTTGCAGAACGCCAACGGCGACGGTGATGCTAGCTTTATGATACACAGAGTCGCCTGACGAGAAATTATGTGTGAATCTCGCGTTGGCCTTATCTTTATGCGCTCGTAGATGGGAAATGTGTGATCAAGCGCATGCCGATGCGTTAAGTACTCTGAAGGACTTTTTACCGTGGGCAAATGGATGGGCTAAATTCTATATTGGACGTGTGCTATTTCACTATTTTACTATTTTAAAAGAACGTGCAAAAAATTTTAGAAATATCCAAATTTCATTGATTGAGACGACAAGGGGGACGATAAAAGTTAAATTTCAAAATGGAATATAATGAAAATAACATCTACTGTTCCAATATTAATAAGATTAAAAAATACAATTGATGCGTATTACTAACATTTTCAATTCAATGTCGGAATTGTAATTGAAAGTTTTATTATTTAAGCTTAATTTGCTTGCAATTTTAAAGACTCAAATTAAATTTAGTTATCATATAGATGATGTTAGGTAATGTGTATGATAGACGATACCGCCATAATGTATGCACGGTATTTCGGTCATATCATATATTGCCTGCATGTCTGACTCATGCTGGTAATAATCTACTTACAGCACTGACTCAATGTTGAACGCGCAGCCACACGAGATACCTAATAACACAGTGAACGCATGCCGCTCTTTAATTGGCCATTTTGTTTAGCAATAATCTTAGTGACAACGTGTTTCATTAATTCTACGATAGAATCCTGAATAAATTCTTGTATCATTTTAACGTGTTGCTATTTCACAATTAAGAATCGGTCTTTGCAGTGCGATTTTATGTTGGCAAATAAGGCTTCGCTCTTTAAATGCCACGCTTGATCTATTTATATGCGATAATATCAGTTTAATATTTAAAGTTAAGTTTAGTTGGCTTATAGACACGACGTATATTTCAGCCAATTTAATATATATGTATAATAGTTTTAATTCTTTTTCTCTGTAATATATATAAGAAGTTGCTTTTTTTATAACAATAGTTTTCTTTTTCATGAAATAATATCTCTTTTTCTCCCTCTTTTCACTTTTTTTTTTATTTTATATCTTAAATTAATTTTTTTATAAACCTTCTTTCATAAATTGTTATAAATCTAATTGAAAATATATACTTCGAATTTGAATTTTCGGAATTTATCGCTGTTAATGATCTACTAATGATCTTGTATGCGCAATTATGAGTCAAGTGCTGATATCCTTGGCGACTCCTTGTTCTCCGCGTCGTCCGCCCAACCTTGCCCACGGCCTGAATTGCCTGAATTACGTTGAAGCACTTTGCGCAGTGCCGAAGCGTCATGGAGGTACATGCTTGTAGGCTGTTCTCCACCGACACAAACTTTTTCGGTACCCGCGCAACTTTCGGCATGGCACACGCAAAATGCGTGCGTGTGCACACATTGTTTGTATATACACAGATAGATTTTTAATAACACGTTAAGGATATAGGATGAATTATATATCGAGAGAGATAGCACACCGAGATAGAACTATAAACGCGCATGGAAAGCAACTTAGCGCCAGTAAGATTTTAAACTTGGAAAACGTTTTCGGACATTGAAAGTAACGTTGAAAATGTCATATTTCGTATTGACAATGAGTGCAAACGTATGTTATCGCGAATGTCTTTGGCTGCTATTTTATTCAAAGATGAGATATGAAATGCCGCAAACGTGTATCTTCCATGCCTATCAAATGGTGTTAAGTGCGCTTTCTGCGCGATTTCTTTTCTGCGTTGCGTTCGAGAGCATTGCTCTACAGCGAATTCTCTCCGATTAGCCATATAGAAAATCTGTATCTTTGCAATGCAGTTTTCTCTGTGGAAAAATCTGAAATTTAGTATTGTTATCAATATAAATTTCGGCACTCCCGGACGTGAATGACTGTTTTTCAACGGTGGTTCTAATGCGGTGCAATTCATTCCGGAGCATAGTCCTCCGTAAACCGTCTTGTAAGCGCGACGAAAGACACGCTATCGCGTAACGCCACAACGAGCCTTAGCTATTGTACGTTATTACATTATTTTTAATGATATTTTATGTTCGAGGAGTAGGCGCCTTAGCGAGCAATAGCTGTACTACTGGTGCTTTCCTCTCTATTCTTTTTTCTACAAATCATCTTATATACATATATATGTTATTGAAAAGTTGAACAAAATGGAAAAATCAAAAATTTTTGGTTTCCACTAATTTTATTATTGAATCAGTGACAAAATTCAGACGTGAGAGAGGAAAATTCCGATTTCTTACTTTCCGCAGACGATAAATTTATGTCCTTGGAAATTTTTTTTAGTGTATCGTAACGAGCCTGTTATAAATTTGTTTTTCGGTGACTGTACATTTGATCGTTATTTATTTCGTCAAGTTCTTCTCTTTTCTTTAGAACAATGCGTTTAGTGCGATAGTGTCTGGTGAAGAAGAATCAATATGGCGATCAACGCAAAAGTTGGTCGGAAAGAGACTATTGATTTTGCTAGAAAAAAATTTTGTATTTAGCGCGCAAAATATTTTATTATTTTGTTATTAACGTGCTAAATGAATCATTTTGAATTCACAATGATTGTTAATCTTCTCGGCATTAAAAATTTTATTCTTTTTTTAAATGAAAATTGAATGTTTAGTTTTATGTTAAGGAAATGTCTATGTTATTTGTAAACGTTGTACACACAAACAGTGTACATACAGGGCATCAATGTCGTTCAATGCGCTTTAACATTCATGAAACATCTTTACCAGGAACTGTTGATAACATAACTCAATTACTTTATTATGTAAAAGAGCGGAAGGAATAGTTGAATCATCACAGTTTCTTTGAGAATGTGAACGCATCGGATGATGTTAACGCTGCCGATTATATGTATAACACATACCGTACAATTATTTGATGATTGCGTCCAAATATCTTTACGAGTTCTTCAAGAGCTCTTGACGGATTTTTATAGTGCAATCTGTGCAATGTCTTCATTTTTAGTATATTTAATCCGTTTCACAATACTTTTTTTTATCGACGATTTTTACATTATAGAAATTGCCGCGTTTCAATGTTGGTTAAATTTCTCTGATCACATGAATACATGTTAATCTTTTTATGTTTGTGTTACAAAATTCTCTAATATCACGAAACAACAGCTGAAATTAATAAACGCGGTACTTTACGATATTCTTCCGCAATATCTTGTCGTAATGACAAGCAACAATTGTATTATCCTTTAAAGTAGTGCACGCGAAGAAAAACTTGCCGATTTATTATGATTATCGATATCAGTGCTTGTTATCGATATCAGCGTATGTCGCAACCACATTTCGTTGGTCTATCGGCAAGCATGCAATCCTCTTTTTTTTTTGTCTAATTTATTTATCCCTCACAAAAGTGCTAAAAGGAATTGGATAATGTTTCGGAATGATTTGTCTCCCATATACATGTCACTTCTGCCATCGACTCCTAAGCATTTGTTTGAAGAATCTTTTCTCACACGTATGCAAATTTTTACTTTTGTTACAGAAAACATTGTCAAGTTTTTCTAGTGCAAAAGCCACAGTAACATATATATAAATAAAAATAAAATCTTTCTCGTGTGTAAGATTGTTTTTTGAAGATACGGGATACATGTTTGATACTATTCACTATTGAAATAAATTTTACCGTACAATTTAGCCATCATTAGCAACGATGTTATTTTTGATAATTTATATTTTTAATATTTGAGAAAAAGAAAGTTGGAAAAAGCAGAGGGAACACTATGTGGGTAGAGACAATTCCGTGGCAAAGTCTGAACGCAAACGCACAGACAGATCCAAACCTCCTTCGGACGCCTGGGCCACGTTTCTGAAAAATGTGTATGATATGCATTTAGGTAACGGAATCCACGTGTATAACTTTCCTGATACCTGTGCTACACATCGCGAAAAAACGGCTCAACGCGTTTACTTGTAAATAGTCGCCTTAGCACTACTAATTGTAAGATAATTAGATATGTATAAAGTTTCATACGTTGTTTAGGTTTCTAGTATTAGTTACATCCGAAATCAGTTACCAATTATATGAACAAATTGCAAATAAACTGCAAAAGCAACAACCGCAGTCTATTCTATTTCCTTCCTTCCTCCTTCTGCAATCAAGAAGACATGCGTGTAGAAACAATAACAAGATTGTATATATTATACATTGTTTATTTGTCATTATATAATTATCATCATGTACATTATGTAAATCGCAATGGCAGTGGTAATGAAATGGGAGGCTGCACACTTTTTGATGGCTTTTTTCTTTTCTTTATTACTTTTTTATTGAGATTTGCGCATATATATGTACATACATATGTATATATATATATATGTCTGTGTGTGTCTGTGTGTATATATACATACATATATACACGCATACACAAAGGATGAAGAACTAATGGTATAATAACTATTACGCTTAAAAACTAAATAAACAAAAGATTATCATAGTAGCGTGTTAATTTAAATAACGTAATAGTAACATCGCGCGGGTGATGTGTGTATGCGCGCGTGAGCGCTTGTGTGTGTGTGTGTGTGTGTATATATATATGTATATGAGCGTGGACGTGTCAAGGTCAGAATTCGGACACATGACAAAGTCCTTTACTTTCTCCTTCGTTCTGTTTTCTAAGCACTCAGTGCGCCTCTCGTGAGACTACGAAGTACGATGATGTACTTCTAGGCTCCTCCAATTTCTTTCCACTTTACCTTTCTCAATATTACTTCGAATAAAGATTTCTCTCAAAATGGGAAAATCGGTTGTTTATCATTATTTAATCACTTTGACATTCTTGTCGTAAAATCTTTTGGAATCATTTTATCTTAACGGACCGGGGATCGATGACTTGATGAATGCTCATCAAGGAACAATATTGAAATACTGTTGTCTATTGCTATGGCCAGCAATACAATTTAGATCGCTTGATACATTAAAATAATAAGAATTACCGTTGCAATCACTTATATGTCGTATCTATAATTTGCATTCATTACACTCTGAATGATGTTTCCAACGACAATTCCAAATGTAAATTCGCGTAGAATTATATAGAAGCGCGATTATTAGTAAAGTTGTTAATTGCGGGTATAAGAGTATTGGAATGGCAATTCTTATTAATTAAAATTGATTTTATTAAAAAAATACGATAGATCTTAATCGTACTGC